CGATGAATACACTTAACCGGATTCAAACAAAATCCGCAAAATCTGACGCGAAAGTGCGACGAGCGCAACGAATTCTCCACTGATGAATACTTTCCGTAGCTCAGGGAATGCGTTCGCGAAGCTTCAACAGTGTTCCCTAACATCAACAATACCTACATCAATCTTACGAACACGCAGCTTGTGCAATTATTCATCAACACCACCACCTGCGTGCTGGCGAAGACTCGCTGTTCCTATGTGAATCCGGTGACCGGTGAGCTTCAGGATAGTGACATAGTCAACAAGTTGCATCTACCTTCACTGAACGCCTTGCTAGTCAACACCGACTACGACATCAGCATCGTGCAGCTGCCGTTCCGTTCCGGCAGCGTCGATGTGTGCACTAAGTATAGAAACGTCGAGCAAGCGACTTGGCCCAGTGTCGTGTGTTAATTTACAAACAGAAATTATATCGAGCCAAGAGAGGCAGCCGGTATCCACGACGCTAAATGACGCGCGGGATGATTTTACCAAGCAACCGTTGCAGAATGAGATTACCGTGTGCCCCGTTGTTCCTAATAAAGATTTGTTTCTGTTGGCGCTAACATTTCGATCATTTCTACCTCCTGGTTTCGCGGCTATTAATACTAACGCACGGCGGTTAAGCGGCACGTGCCAAAGAACAACACATCCGCATTCTTAAGCAATGTCTTTTTCAAGAGTCGTTTGATATTCTGGTTCGTGAAGAAAACAAATTTGGAACTCAGTTCGCATACTAGTACCGATTAAAACACAAATTGTACACAAATTGATATAAAGATGTCTATTTAATATGTATAAATGCACGAAAAGAACGGTTTTGCTAAAGTATCTAAAAATTTAGCTAGATACAGATCTAAAAATAGATTTTGTTGAACCAAAGTAATTACGTAGGGCATTCAAGTTGATTGCTAGAATATAAAAACTGTTTTTACAGTATATATACTTAAATGTCCTATATAATAACTTTGATATAGTTCAATAAAATTATTTTTAAATCTACATTTAAATACATAGCTAAATTGTTAGCTCTTTTACTTCAGCAACATCGTTTTTTTCATATACAAATTAAATCGTGGAACCCTTAATACATTTTATTGTACTGTTCGATAAAATATTTATATAATATTTGCACTTGTCATTTTTACTTTGCATATTTGCACAACTTTATCGTGAATTTTATTTACACGGCTCAATTTACGTCGAAGGTATAACATCGATTCATGAAACTGGCCAATCACAGTCATTCCATTCTTCTGATTCTTCAGAGAATAAGCTATGGATTGGCCAATTTCATAACGTCGATGTTATAACTTCGACGTAAATCGAGCTATATAAACATAGTCGTGTAATAACTATGTAATAAATTTTTTTTCTTAAACGGAAATATAAAAAGTGAACATTTTTATCATTGAAAGTAAACGAAGAAATTTTTCACGTTTCTGCCTTAGAGAAAAAAAGTACATAATCGGTTACTCAGTTAGATCAGTACAATGGCTTTAATATATCTACATTAATACGCACTATAGCATCTACCTGAGTTCGCTAGGAGAATTTATCAAATCAGAAAAGACTGATCATTTTAAAGCTATATAGCGGCGCATAAGAAAAACATAAGCAGTAAGTAGATTAAGACTTTTTTATTTACTACTGCTTACGTTATTGCTTTTAGCGACGTCTACGATGAAATTTTAAAACGTTAAACTTAAGCTTTAATTAAGCCTTAAGCTGTAAGAAATTGCAGACCCCAATCATAGTCGATTGTTCTTCTCACAGTCGTCGACTATGATTGATTAATTTCTTATGACTTAAAACGTAAAGTTTCAGCTTTACGTCTCAAAACATTTAACGTTTCTTAATTGTAATGGACCGATTCACTTACTGCACTTACTTATATTTTACTGCTTACGTTTTTGTATGTGTTACCAGCTAAAAAGGTCGTCTATAACGGAGGCAGTAAGCTGTAAGAAATTGACCAATCACAGTCGAATATAAGAAGACTAATCGACTATGATTTGTCAATTTCTTGTAGTTTAACTACTTCCATTGTAGATAACCTTTAAGGCATCTCACTGAACTTCGCGGCAGTTAAACGACACGAGAAGATACTAATAGCGAAATGAAAAATCGAATGAAATCATTCAAGTTTGCAAGATACGTAGCATCGTTTGAAAGAAGCGACTTTTGTCTAGCAGGAATATTCTCTTCGCGACAATAAAAGAACGTTATATATACGTTGAATACGTTAGATAAGATGTGTGCACATAAAAGGCACCGCGCGTGATGCATATTATTTTTTCGCGAGAGGAAAGTTTCTTTTATATCCGCGCACGCGAGCGAGCGAGCGAGTTTCCATCTCAGAGATCACGCCGCGAGAGTATTTCCACGCGTAACTTTTTCGCAGACGCAATCCACGCCGAATCCCGCGGGCGAAAAAAAGGAACCGATACCGCGTAATCTCCCCGTCATCCTCCTCCCACTGTTGGCTTCCTTGTCGTTTCTCTCGTCAAATCGCGCCTCATCGTTTCCTCGTGACTGTGTCGATACGCAAGGTGAGATAAGGTAAGACGTGCCCGATGCTTGACGAGAACTCGGCATGCAAACAACTTCATAACGACTTCGGCCGTCGAGCGTGAAAATTCGCAAATATAAACTCGCCCGGGGACGCAACGCCCGCGATGTCGGGCCGCCGTCACGTAATTTTTATTTATTTTCGTCAGAACGGCGGATGTGAAAAACGCAAATAAACGCGCGGGAAGAAGAGTCGACGGCCGAGAATAAAATTTCCTTCAACATTTAGGATAAGCGAAGGCTCACCTGCGAAATTTCTCTCTCTCTCTCTCTCTCTCTCGGCGCGCTCCAAGATTTCGCGAAATAGAATTCGCAGTGCAAAACCGTGGCGAGCAAATATTTAAATGACGCTGGTACGATTTCGAGAGTCGTCCATTACGTAGGCGCACGAGAATGCTCTTTCGTTTAAAATGTGTTCACGTGTGGGCGAACGGCGCGGTAGCTTCGCGGAGCAATGCGATGGGCTCCATTTGTGGTATCGATTACATGATGGGTCGCCCCGTATGCATCTGCGTACTTACGCGAACAAGAGAGAGAGAGAGAGAGAGAGAGAGAGAGAGAGAGAGAGAGAGAGAGAGAGACAAAAATGAAAAAATAAATAAATGGCGTAGATAAAGAGGAGAAGAGTAAGGGATCGCTCCATTGCGTAGAGGCGACGCTCCACTTAGCATCTCTTCCTCGAAATAATTTGAAATATGCAAATACAATTGGTGCACACATTTGCGTGCGACGCGAGAGTGCGTACACTCCGGCGAGTGTGTATCACGAAGGAGAAGAGAAGGCTGGGAGAGACGACGAAGACTGCGCGGGTATTCGAGTGGTTCACGGTTCAGTTCTCTCGGAGTCAATCTAACTTAACATGCAGATGCAATACGTGGAATCGAGATGGTACAGCGAAGCGAGGAGAATTCTGAGTCATTCCTGGCATCGCTGTCCTTTCCATATCTTCTTGTCTTTATCATAATGTAGCACTCTTCTGACCGATAGCTACAGTTATTGAGTCACTTATTAGACATTAGATACCAAAACTAAATGCATTTAGTACTTGAGATAAATTTGGAATTTTAGGTTTGGAACAAAGAGCGCAATATCCAATAGTTATAATATATAATAGTATACAGAAAAACGTAAGCAGAAAGCAAGCAAGTCAACATTTTTTATTTGCCACTTAACTTATTTGTCTTACGTTCTTCACTATGATTGGCTGATTCGCTTATCGCTTACACCTTACTGCTTATGTTTTTCTGTGTGCCACTTATGATATACAAAAAAAGAATGGTTTTGCTAAAGTATTTAAAAACATAACTAGCTACAATTTAATAATAATTTTGTTTAAACCATTAAAATAATTATGTAAAAACGTTTGAATGTTGATAACAATATTGCAAAACATTTTAATTAAACACTAAATCAGTTTAAGCGTCCTACATATATTTTTATAATGAATCAAATAAAATAAATTTTCAGATCTGCATATCTACCTCTTTAAATTCTTTGCAAACAGAAATTAATCTACTCTTTTTCATGATAGCTTAATTTTTACTCTTCAGAGTGAGATTCACTCTGAAAGTTTTAGAAAGTAAAATGTTAAATAAAGTTTTAGAAAGTAGTAAATTTTTATACTTAACAAAACCCTTCGTAAAGCCATTGTGTCCATATCACACAAAAAAATATCATTCTCTCTCTATTGATAAGAAAAGTGATTACTCAATTTATTTTGTTTAAATAACAGTTATCTTTAACAAAGAATTGTCTTCATAATAATCTTAAAATATACTTACAAATTTCAGAAAAACTTATTATGAATTCAAAACAAGAATTTATGTTCTTTTGAGAAATGTTATAAAATTATTTAAAGAAATAATTTTAATAATATAAGCAAGTCAAAGTTTTAATTTAATAATTTTGATTAAAGTATCAAATCCACTAAGATTCAGAATATATTTTGAATATAAATTTGATGTTTATGATAACCCTATTAAGCTAGCCCCCCCTCCCCTGACCAGCGACAAATTATTTACTATGATACATAGATACATTTATTGTTAGATACATATACATTTATTCATTTATTATTATACATAAATTTACGGATAAGTAAACTTTTAAAATATCTGAAACAATTATTACTTGCATACAACATGTATTTTTTTATGTAGCGTTGTGATTTTTAACAAAAAATATGCAAAATTTAAAAAGGACAGCATACAAGTGATATCTAAAATTTATGCACGTCGATAGCTAGGATTTTTTTATTTCCACTCACAACAAAATATTAAATACAATTAATACTCTTCTTTCAATAAGAGTACATTCGGACATATATATATTAATGCCGAACAACCCCCAAGCTTTCTCTTGACAAAGCTCAATGCATACAAACGACACTCGTATATCAATTAAAAATACAAGAGAAATAAATCAAGGAATATTCATCGAGAGATTAATTCAATAGTACTCGTGAGAGCTTAGCGAATTTTTCGCTTTGCAGGCACAAATACGATTCATTGAGAATTAAACGCGGGAACATCAAGGCCTCCATCTAGTCCACAATTTATACAAGTCCTCTTCTTAAATTCCGCATAAGTCTTTCGCGAGGGCACGCTATATCTTGCGATACAATACATTAGTCATCGTAATAAATGACGAAGCTTAGCCGCGACTCTTTCGAGAATATTATCAGAAACCCAGAGACCTTCCTTTCAGACAGGGGATAGCTCTCGAGCCGACATCCGCTTTCGAATTTCAAGTGGGTCAGGTCGATTACGAACACCCCGTATGCCACGGAGCGTGCGTCGCTATTTTCAGCCGATCATCGCTAGGAATGCATCAGCGCGGGGAAT